TAAAAATCTTATGCTCTTTCAAATATATTAAGAAAAAGAAAAAGACAAGCTACAGATCAGGAGAAAATATTTGCAAAATAAGTATTTGATAAATTGTTTGTATCCAGGATATAGTAAAAATAACTCTTGCTGGGGCCAGCCCGGTGGTGCAGTCGTTAAGTGCACACACTCCACTTCGGTGGCCTGGGGTTTGCTGGTTCGGATCCCGGGTGCGGACATGGCACTGCTTGGCAAGCCATGCTGTGGTAGGCATCCCTCATATAAAAGAGAGGAAGATGGGCACGGATGTTAGCTCAGGGCCGGTCTTCCTCAGCAAAAAGAAGAGGATTGGCAGCAGATGTTACCTCAGGGCTAATCTTCCTCAAAAAACAAAAAATAAAAAAATAACTCTTGCAACTCAGTCTTATATAAGAACACAACTAACCCAGTTTTTTAAATGGACAAAAGATTTGAACAAGCAGTTCACCAGAGAAAATATACAAATGGCCAAAAAGCATGTGAAAAGATGACCAACATCATTAGTCATTAAGGAAAAGTGAATTTAAAAAATGAGTTGTATCTACATGCCTACTAGAATAGCTAAAATTTCAAAATTAAACACATGACCATATCATACCTTAGTGAAGATGTGAAGAAATAGAGCTCTCGTATTGCTGGTGGGAGCGCAAAATGGCCCAACTGTTTTGGAAAACAGTATGTCAGTTTCTTAAATACTTGCCATATGATCCATTCCTACATATTTCTCCCTGTTCCACTCTTAAGTATTTACCCAAGAGATGGAAATGCAGTTCATATAAAGACCTGTGTGCAAATGTTTATACTAATTTTGTTCAAAACAGCCAGAAATTGGAAACAACCCAAGTATCCATCAACTAGTGAGTGGATAAACAAATGGCGGCATGTCCATAAAACTGAATACTGCTCAGTAATAAAAGGATTGAACTACGGGTACATGGATTTCAGAAGTATTATGCTATGAGAAAGTGGTTGCCAGGGGCTGAAGGTGGAGGGAGGGGGTTACCTATAAAGGGGCACAGGGGAATTTTTCGGGGCGATGGAAATGACTTGTATCTTTACTGTGATGGTGGTGATGTGACTATACATTTGTCAAAAATCATGGAACTGTACGTTTAAAAAGGGCGAGTATACCTGCGTAAACTTGACTTTAAAACACGTTCACACACAGGAGGGGGTTCTCAACCTTCCTCTTCATTAAGAAAATGCAAATTAAAACAATCAGATGGCCTTTTTTTTAACCTATTAGATTAAGGTGAAAGTGTTTGATTTCACGTTGTTGTAAAAGATTTAGGGAAGGAGTCACTCTCATACTTAAATATAAGCCTCTGAGAGGTAGTTGAGCGTTATCTTTCAGAATTAAAAATGCATGTACTTTTTGACCCAGAAATTCCACTCTCAGGAATTTTTTCTACAGGCAAGACACATGCAAGGAAAGAGTATCATTTATATCATTGTTTATCATAGCAAAAGCCAGGGAACAACCTTAATTTCCATTAATGGGACATGAAATTAACTATGGTACAGTGAAGTACTGTGAGGCAGATGTATTTGTGTGCTGATATGGAACAATTTCTTAAGACTGTTACATGAAAACAGCAAGGCACAGAATGACATGTATACTGTGTTTCTCTCTTTTGTGTTTTTAAAAAGCTGTATGTATTCATATATGTGCCTGTTTAAGCATGTGCTATTAGAGATAGCAGACACACAAAACTAGTATTAGTAGTTGCCTCTAGCATAGGGAAGATTTACCTTTTGATATGTATCTATTTGTTTTGCTTGAATATATTTTTTTCCATGTGCATATATTACCTTCTCAGTTAAAGAGAAAAAAATTTAATTTGCATACATTCTAGTGTGTTATTAGGAAATTTAGAAGTACATGGGTGATTTTTCTGATAATTTCCTCTAGAATGTCCTTAGTGGACTAGATGGATCTTGGGACTGAGCACTGTGATGTTTCTAAGACCACTGCTTCTGGTCTGTGTCTTCTGTTTTTTGAATTCAGAGAGTATGTTGAGGAGGAAATATGCTCATTTCATTTTACCCACATGATGCCTTTTTGTACGTTGGATGTTCTTCTAGCTTAGGTCGGTTTTACTAACCACTGCAATGATCAAGTGACAGGGTGGGGAGAAATGTACTGAGTTCTGAAGAAAATTGTAAATTTATGTCTCTGCATCCTATTCAGATGCCACCAGGAAGCTTCTGTAAGCAAGGGGAGCATCAGTAGGGTGGTGTGGAAATCAGCAGCACTTTATGAAAATAGGGTAGCTTGGGAGGCTGTATTCACTTTAGTTTGGACATTAAATGAATTAAAATGGACGGGCTCAAGTTATGAGCCTTGCCTCATCTGTGCTATAAAAAGCCCTTTCACTGGGCTGTAATTCGACTCTCCTCTCTGTAATGTTACACAATATTCCTATGGTTACAGAGCCTGAATAAGTGGAAGCTAATCATTAGTTTGCTAAATGTGGTTCATGGAACAGTTCACAACTCCCAGACCTGCCAACTGCTGCTTGTTTAGTGTCATGTTCACTCTTCTTGGGTAGAAGTTGGTTCCTTCCTCAGAAAAATGTACAGTAATATTTGTCTCCCATCCAGGAATCTTGCAGTATGGCAGCTCTCCATGTGTCTTGGGGATGGGGAGGGAAAAAGGTCATGCTAAGCAAAGGTTTTTGGTACGTACACTTCCACAGGAAGAAACCATTAAGGGAGTGTGAGATGACAAAGCAAGAAAAGAATTAAAGCTGCAGAGGTCTTGGATACAGTTGTGCGCCACATAACATTTCGGTCACTGACGGACTGCATGTAATCTTACGGCGGTCCCATAAGATTAGTACCGTATTTGTGTAGTAGGCCATACCACCTTCTTTTGTATAAGTACACTCTATGATGTTTGCACGACATAGTCACCTAACGACACTTGTCTCAGGATGTACTCCTCTTGTTAAGGGACACGTTATTGTATTTGAAAAATCATGCTGTGTTCACTTTTCATAAATTTGCTGTGTTAGAACTCTATGGAGTTTACTGTTCTATGACTGTAGAAATAATATCAGGCTCTTTAGGTTCTTTCTTGTTTCCTATGGCAGGACAGATTTCGTTACTGCCCAGGGTCACCTGCAAACACACAGATGTGCTGCCATTAGAAGCCAAACATTTTATGAGCTGGGCCCTTTCCTCTCTCATCTCCCAATATGTGTCAGGGGAGGATATTGAAAGTGGTAGGTACCAGCTGGATTTGTGCCCTGGGGTTTAGAGCCTAAATCCTTAAGCCACTCATGATTATTTGGCCTCTTCCTACTAGGATAAAAGTGGGTTCTTTCCCAATAAATAGAAAATTATTTTGCTCCCCTGTGACTCATTCCCTATTTCCAGCTGAAAAGCTGTTGGCCCTGAAGGAGGAACCTCTTTCTTCTTGGAGACTGTCCAGGAAGAAAGTCTGGTGGCTGTCTCTATTTACCTGCTGTGTCATTTAGATCTCTTTGGATTGTAAAAAACAGAAAACCTAACCTCAACTGGCTTAAGGAAAAGGGGAATTAACTGGTTTACATGATTAAAAAGGCATGGCCAGAAATAAGGGCTCAAACCATGTCATCAAGACCTGCTCTCTCTGCTTGTCTCACCTCTGGCTTTGTGAGACTCACTCTCAGACTCTCAGGCCCTGCGTGGTGGCACACAGGGCAGTTGCGTAACCTCCCAGGTACAGCCCAGCAGGAAACAGCAGGTATCCTTTCCCCTGTCTCCTGGAAAAGTCTTCAAGTTCACTCTGATTGGGCTGGCTTAGGTCTTGGGCCATCCCCGAACCAGTCACAGGTCAGGAGAGATCTCATTCCCCACCCCTGGCAGAGGGGAGCCTCACCCGAGCACGTGGAATAGGAGTGAGAAGAGTAGCAGCCAGCTGAAAATGAGGCCCTTGGCAGTAAGAAAAGGAACTGGGAGCTGGGAGGCCAATCACTCGTCCTTACGTGAGGAAGCTGGATCCTCCCTTCAGTGCGCTGTAAGACGCCACTTCCAGCCGCCTCGCCCGTGATAACATGGGCTTCTGCTGCTTTGTGAAGTAGTTCATGTTCCCCAGCCTCTGCCTCTTATTCTCACTTGCCTGTGTGCTGCTCAGGACGACTACAAGAATTCTCTCTTATAATGCACACTTCTTTAAAATACACACATTTCTTGAAAGTCCACATAGGAGGAGACAAAAGAAATGATCAGGAGCCAAAATAATTATGGTGGTTCTCATTGCACTTCGTGGCTCAAGGCAATTTAAAAAATATATAAAAGTAATGGAATCAAGTCATAGTTTAGAAAATATAAAAACCACAATTCTACTGCTCTAACCCAACCGCTATTTTAATTTTAGAGTATTTCCTTTCAGCTTTTGTTCATATGAGTTTCTCAGAGACTTTTAAATCTTGATTTTTTTTGCTTGACATTACATGATAATCCAGGCATTTTCCATATTACTACATAGTCACCATTATTTTGGAAATGCAACATAATGTCCCGTTGAGTAGACATACTATCATTAACTTAATCATTCTTCTCTCATTGGACATTTAGGTTGTCTCCTTTTTAGTTCTTTTCTACTGTTATAAAGAATAGTGTGGAGCATTTGCGGGGTATGTAACTTTTCTCGTGCTTTATTTCCTGAGGATGGATTGTGAGAGGTGGGATTATTGCTTCAAAGGCTATGAACGTTTTTATGACTCTTCATACATATTGCCAAATTGCTTTTCAAAACTGTTGCATTTATCTCTTCTGCCTCCCGCAGTTTGTGAGTGGCTCAATTTCATTGCATTTTTGCCAACAATAGATAATTGGATTTTTAAGCATTTTCCTAATAGGTAGAGAATAGGTGTAGTTTTTGTTGTAATTTAGATTTCTTTGGTTAATAGGGAGGATGAACGCTTTTGTGTATGCTTGGTTTTTTTAGTTGTATTTTCTGTTCTGCTTTACATACTGTCTTTTCTTCACTTTAGACCCCAAAACAGCTTCTGAAACAGAAACGGATATCTGTGCCGAATGGGAGATAAAGACCATCACGAGTGCTTTGAAGACCTACCTAAGGTAGGGACTTTCCATTTGCAGGGCCGAGTGCCAGCTTGTTATCATGCACTTGGGAAGAAAGCAGTTTTATTTTCAGCCTCCAGAGAGCTGCTGGGTGGGTGTTTGAGATGTGGAAACAGCTTATGTGTGGGTGCAGTTAGCTCAGCTGGTCAAACCGATGGTATATCATCTGTAATTGATGGGTTGCCATTGTGCGTTGGTATCATTAGCGATTTTGGAAGCTTTGCTCTTAATGAGAAGTTACTATGATAATTAGCCTTTAACAGAACCTAAAATATGTTATTCCCTGAAATCCCTAAATAATCTATTAAGAAAACAAGCAATTACCTATCTCGTTCTGTTGAGAATGTATAATTATACACCCCATTTTGATAGTTTTGTGCATTGCACAGAGTATATTGCTGACACTGGTTCTTAAAATGAGAACTTAATGGAACTCCTCTTTGATTCCTTTCACTGAGGTTGGACAATATTACTTTATTGGACAGAAGACCCTTTTCCTTGTTATAATATATATGATATTACTGCTAGCTCTCTACCCCTCCCTTGATTTTAAAGGGAATGGATGATCGACTAGCTGCCCACATCTCAGTTTCATGAATAGATGGAAATTTATGCTGGACTTGAAGGGTAGGAATATTATAGCTCTTCACTGTGGTTCTTCTTACAGAGGAAGGGGGGCGTCTAGTCTTAAACAAAGAGAACTATAATCATGAATTGCCTAAGCATTTGTAGAGATTTTGTGAAGATTCACTTGGCTTGAAAGCAAAGGAGGAAAGCCACAGAAAAGAAATAGATGGTGCAGGTTTTATTGGCTATTGGGGAATTGATGGATTGATCTTGAAGTCAAGAGTAAGATGGGGTCCAGCCTCGTGGCTGAGTGGTTAAGTTCACACACTCCGCTTCGGCAGCCTAAGGTTTCATCACTTTGGATCCTGGGCGCAGACGTGACACCACTCATCAGGCTATGCTGAGGCAGCATCCCACATAGCACAACTAGAAGGACCTGCAACTAGAATATACAACTATCTACTGGCAGGGGCTTTGGGGAGAAGAAGAAGAAGGGAGGAAAAAAAAAAGATTGGCAACAGATGTTAGCTCAGGTGCCAGTCATAAAGAAAAAAAAAGAGATGTAATGTAAGTGATGACTAAGAGTTGAATTAGGGGATCTGAAAAGAATAAAATAAAGCCTGAATCAGGAATACTGTATAGTCTGTTGAGAAGCTTATTGTTTGGATTATAAGAAAAACTCAAGTTTACAGTTAAACGTATTCATTAAACATCTTCTTACCCCAAATACTACTATTGTAGTTTATACAAAACCATATCGTAGATATTTGTATTTAACACTTATTTGTGTGTATTGATATTGATTAGCTAATAAACAGTAAATATAAAACATTTTTTTTTAAATAGTAGGTAAAATTTGATTGTATCATGCTTAATGTTAGGGGTTCTAGCCCTTTGGCATTCTGGAGCAACACTCCATAGTGAATTCGCCACAAAAACACCTACAAAAGTCTGTCATAGTGTTTCCACTATGATGAATTGAGTCTAGTAACTGATTAGAATTATGAGCTGATTCTAATAACAGGCTGCTAGGAAGACAAGAGTTGAAACACAGGTAATTGCAAATGTTTAGTTAGTTGCCTGTTTCTCCGACAGGTCTTAAGATGCTCTTGTTGATGGGTGAGTCACACACTGAAAAGGAAATCTCTTGGTTTGTGCTAGACTTTCACATTAGCACTTTTCTAGTTGTGACTGTGAAGCACAGTTGTACCCTTAAAAAAGGCTGTACCCATTCCCCTAAAAAAGAGAGTGTGAAAATTTCAGGTGAAATCTCAGGACCTTTTCCAAATGGAAACTAAGTTGACTAAGTTGAATTGCTGTTGTTTCCCTGTGATCTCCCAAAATGTAATGCAGTTTTGCGATCTCTAGGCTGCTCTTACAGAGAATATGATTGTTTTTATTAAGCTGACTAGTGTATATCCTTTCATTCCAGAATGCTTCCAGGACCACTCATGATGTACCAGTTTCAAAGAAGTTTCATCAAAGCTGCAAGTAAGTCTTATTTTTGTCACAGTTTTAAGGGGAAGGGAATAGATTTTTCTATTTCAAAGAACAGTCAGCATCCCAAAAGAAATATTATCTAACCTTTCTTATTCTGCATGTAAACTACCTACACATGTGCTCATGAGACTGCCACAGAATGAAAACGAAACCAAATCAGGATTGCTGAGGGCCTTGCTACCACGTTGGATTTACAGTAGAGGAGAGAAACTTCAGAAGTGTGTTTTTGGGGGTGGAGAGAGGGGAGAAAAGCAAGTTTGCCTTTCTAATTTTGATTATTGGAGTTTGGACTCCTTGGGTTTTTTCCAGCCCTTGAGTAGCATTTTGCAGAATGAATCAGACTTTGCACATTACCTAAACTGAGCATTGGAGGTGTTTCCCTGAATCTGACACCATTTATATAACTTTCCAGTCCTCTTTCTGTCATGGCTTCCATTTACAGCTTCAGATCATCTTCAGCTATATCATCTAGGTCCCTCACATCGTGTTACTGGTATTAAAATACATAGGGATTAGGGGCAAGCTGCCCTAAGTGTACTGGAATCTGTCTACGTGGGGCAGGCCTCCTATAAGGGACAGTAAGATTCTCTATCAGATTTAAGTCTGGCATGAATCCCCACAGTGCTATTATGTCGAGGGCCTGTGCCTCTCCCAGCTTCCTTTAAGCCTTCAGAGTTTCTTTACCCTGGTAACTACTACTGCCCTGATTTAGTAGCACCTAATGCTCCAGTGGCCCATAGTTGTCCCCTTAACATGGGGAGGGGAAAGACATGGGAGAAAGCTGGGAGTGAAGATAGTGTTCTTGTGATTTCTTTCTCAGGGAAATTCCAAACCCATGGCAACCATTCTCTTATTAAACTCACATCAGTCCTATAAATAGGTGTGGTGAGTACCATCAATCTACTTCCCAGAGAAATGAAGCCGCCTTCCCGAGTTCATCCAAGAGAACATGACAGGCCATGATTTAGGTTACGGGTTGGCAGAAAGATTTACATATTTTATCTGTCATTGCTTTCTTCTACCATGCTGGTTGTCACACATGACTTGAGAATAACTGGACGTTTCTTTTGATTCCTTTGATGCTGTCTCGAGGTGTTATTTTGATATTTGAGACCCTTGCAATGTTGTTCATGTGCAGTTTGTTTATCACTTGATGAGTGCATAAAGTTCCTTGCTTCCTTGAAATAAAGCGGTCACTCCGGGGAGCCAGCTGCTCCCAAGTTTGTTCCTGCTCTGAGTTTGCAGTTGACTGGCTCCATTTCATCTTGTCATCATTTTGGCTTGAATTTTTTTGGTAGTCATTTTTTTTAATGAACTCTATTATAGAAAGCACCATTAAAAGCACTTCTAGATCTAGTCGTTCTAGTCTTGAGTACCCAGAGCGGAATCTTAAACCTTGAGAAATCCTTAGCCTGTTAGTGCCCAACCTTTGGCTTCCTTTGATTTTTGTCTTGTAAACTGTAACACTGATCAAATATTACGCCCCTCCTTCCTTTGCAGAGCTGGAGAACCAGGAATCTCGGGTCTCTGAAATCCACAGCCTTGTTCATCGGCTCCCAGAGAAAAATAGGCAGATGTTACAGCTGCTAATGAACCACTTGGCAAAGTAGGTTTAAAACTGATTGCTGGGCCCTTTTCTCACCCCTAGAAAGTTTTTATCTTAGCACTAAAGCTGGTCTCAGTTCTGCTTACGTTTCCCTTTCCCACTATTGCATCAGGTATGCTGGAGGCTTAGGAAAGAAATGTGTGAAATGTTAACTGCAGTGGACAACAGCAGCATGTGCCAGATGGTCTTTGCAGAGGAGGCTGGGGAAGTGCCTGTGCAACCAGGCTACCAGGCCGAGCTTTCAGGGGTTTTTGCTCTTGTGATGATCAAGGGCAAACAGGAGTAGGTCATCCATGAAACCAGGTCACCAAGTAGAGTTTTCAGGGTTATGTGTTCTTGTGATGCTCATGGGAAAACAGGAGTGTGTTGTGGGTTTACAGACCTTGGATTTGGGGTAAAGAGGCCTGGATTCTAGAGTTGACTCTGCTCCTAACAGGCTACTGACTTCTCAATTCCGTAGTTTCTTCATCTGTCAAATATGGATAGTGTCATTGATTTTTAAAGTTATATATATTAAAGCCTTTGAAGAAGCGTAGAGAATAAAAGAATTAACTTTGGTAAATGCCCCCTTGCCCTCTGAGATAATCAGAGCATTCAATGGGGGCCTGATTTTCCTGCTAGGAATATTTATACTCATGGAATAGTTTTGAAGTTTTGTGTGTTTACTGTTACTTGACCCTTTTAGGAATGGTCTTACTGACTTCCCTTGCTGTATCAGTCACTACATGTGTGTATGTTCTAACCTCACATTGACTTTGACGAATGTTCTTGATTGGAGACTGGAGCATAAGAAAAGACAAGTGTATAAATAGTTAAATTGTTAAGCCCTACATTCTGCTGAACTGATGTGTTATAAATTTGGCCCTTACCCACACTTTGTTCGTGCCATTAAGTCATTTCTTTGGGATAAGTTGATGCTCTGCTGAGAGAGATTATGATGGTCCTTTTTCATATTTCTACCAAGCTCTTGATATTACCTTTTGAAGAGAGAGTATGTATGTTACCTTGAAGATTTCCACGTCTTAATTATGAGGAAGCAAGAGTGTTTTGCATGTTGATGAGAAGCAATTAGGCAGAGTCAAAGGTTGCTCCATTATTGGTGAAATTTTTTTTCTTGCCACACCATATCAGAACTGCATGTCCAGAAAGAATTAAGCCTAGCAGAGAACGTGCAAGTTTGCAAGGAGAATGCTCAAAAGATGTTACAGAATCCTGATGAAATGTGTTTAAAGTAATGGGAAATGGGCTTTAAAAAGTAACTGCCCATGCTTTGAGATGACGGTTTGGTGCCTATTCAGCACAACCCAGTCAGGCATTTGTTAAACTGAAAAGCTGGTTTAGTTGCAAAACTGCACACTTGAAGGGCCTGCACCTAAACTGAGGAAGTTCCAGGTACGTACTCCAGCATGTGTGGAAATGCTCCTGAGTGCTTTATGGCCACCAGGTCTTAAGGAGGCCCCAAGCCTGCTGGGAGCAGCTGGAGGAGACGGGTTAGGAACCAGCTGAAAGCAGTGGGGCTTTTCAAGCTGTGCAGTTGTGATGAGAGCTTAATTGGACTGAGAGAGACCAAGAGTAAATGGTGATCTAGCAGAGCTGGTACTGAATTTTCCTGTTTTTAAATGCCTTGTGGAGTGTTGGGAATCTTTAAAGACCAAAAAAAAAAAAAAAAAAGATTAAAACAACCTCTTAAGGTAGATCTTGAACAGTGGAACCTGTTCATCTTGTGGTGGGTGCTTCACTTTCTCCCTCTTGTTCCACTCTGTACTCTCACAACCCCATTAAGTTCAGTCCATCTTTGTCCCTAACCCAAGGAGTGGTATAACTGGAATATGCAAGTTACAGCTGTGACCTTGACTTTTTGCTTTCTAACAAATTTAAACCAATTGTCTTGCTGGGGTTATTTATTTTACTGCATTTCTGGAGCATTATGTCTTGTCTTTGATACTTAACAATGGTTTTCTTTGGTTCTACGAGGTTACTGGCATTTCTTTGTTCATTTAATCATTAAGAAATCTACATATAGACAAGCTCTCATGCCTGTAATGTGAGGTGGTCAGAGTTGATGTTAGAAGACACAGACACCAGTTCTCAGCATGCTGTGTTCTTGGTCTCTGGAGCCTCTGGATTTAAAGTGTCTTGGAGGAGATGGGTATAAATGAGCACTGCTGAATCCAGTATTTAGGTCTGAAAAAATTCTTTGGCACCCAGAGGAGTTCTAAGATTCCACTTAAACTCTATATTCTCATTTACAGCACTGTCCTATTTTAAAATCTAGCAGTGAGGGAAAGTTAACTTGGGACAAGGCTTTTGTCTGTCTCATTGCAGTTTTCTCAGGTTCATACTCATCCTGGGATACGCCTGAGCTATTGTTCCTCTGGTCTACTTACTTAATGATCAGCTTCCTTCCTAAGTTTTGGTTTCAGGGCTGGTTCTGCTGGAAAACCCAGTGTTTACTTCTCTTATTACCTACTGCGTTTGCCCTGTGCATCTCAGGCATCTGGTTCAAAGGGAAGACATTTGGTATTGTGTATTTTTAAAGTACTCTTTTGAAACACTTTCCAAAATTGATTTCCTTTAGCTGTGGAGGCAGAGTTAAGATATTTTATATTTAATCCCAAGTAGAAATGCATTCAGAGGGAAAAATAGTCTTGTTGGGGGTGGGGTGGGGGGTGGGAGGTAGGGAAGGATAAAAACTCCAAACCTCCAAGCAAATGATTGCCAGAGTGCATCCAAATCACAGAACTCTTGGGTTTGTTTCAGACCTCAGAGGGAACCTAGAAATTATAGGCAACTATGTACATATTTTTGTTGTTCCAGCTTAAATCTGCTATGATAATTAGATGTTTTCTCTTTGGATCCTGGAATCTAGTATACAGCGGGAGTCATGCTCCACAGAGCGCGGTTAGCACACCTGGGGTGCTTGTTTACATTGACATCGCTGGGCCCACCCCTGATCTACTGAATGGGACTCTGCCTGGGAATCTGCATTTCTGGTTTATTTCCCGGTGATGATGCAAACAGTCTTGAGAACCACTGGTCTAGAGAATGGGCCATGTACAGGGATTTTCTTGGAGAGAGAAATGGTACTGAGAGGAATGGATTGAGATTTAGGAAGGTATTAGAAATAGGAAGAAGCAGCTCAAAGCAGTGAGTTCAAAAGGGAGATTTTTATTTTCATAATTAAATTGCTAAAAACAAGTCTGGTTTGGATTTCCCATGTTTTTACGATTTGACTTTGCATTAAATTGAGTGTTTGGCAAATGACTTTGTTTTAAAATCATGCATAAAGCATTTTTAATAATAAAGGAAATCATCCCCCGTTAGCTGTGAGATCTTGTGGAAATCATTCAATCTCCTTGAGTCTCAGTTCCCTTTCAGTCACGTGATTCTGTGTTTTTATCAGGTGAGGGGGAGGTGGGAGAAAACAATTCCCAATTTTATCATTGTAGAAGGAAATAAGAGTAGATGAGTAATAAAGCCTAATTTCATAGTAGTTCCCTGATGTTTACATATTATGATGACTCCAACTATGTTGTATATCCCCACACATTCCATTCATAGTGGCTCATCGTAACTTTATTACAGTGTTTACGCTGCAAGGGAGGATTTCAAAGGACTCTCCATACATCAGAAGTGGCTATTAAAAATACCTTTTCTCAGCTAGTTTTCCCAAAACACTTATTGAGAAATAAATCTTAGTCTCTTTTCTTTTTTGTAGCAACTATTCCTTCGTTGCTAGGGTGTTGTTGGAGAGGCAGAGCCCTTTTCCTGCTTCTCCAAAGAGAGATTACTTATGATGCTTTGGGCTGCAAAAAACAGAAAATCCAATTCAAAATGGCTTAAACAACAAAGGAATCTATTGTCTTATTGCACAAAATCAGTCATGAGGGTTGGTCTCTTTTTTGGCTCATGAAGTACTCAGGTTACTTCTGTGGTCCTGCTCACAGCCAGCTGTGTGGTGGCTAGCTCCACTCAGAGTCATAGGATGTTGCATTACATCTGTACACATTAGTGGTTGTCCAGAGGCAGAAAAGGCATTACTTCTTCTTTGAGTCTCTTTTTAAGAGCTACAATGATACTTTTCCCAGAAATTCTCCAGCAGACTTCCTGTCACATCTTATTGGTTTGAAGCAATCACCGGCCAGAGGAGTGGGACCACGATGATTTTTTACACCAACAGGATTTACCTGGGTCACTTGTGGGAGGCATGGATACCAGTGTAAAAGCAGAGCTCTGAGTAGGCAGCCCACAGTGCCTTTGCAAGCAGTCTTGTTAAAATGACGTTTAACAGAGAGCATTAAGTCTATTGAATGATCTTTGCATGGTATGCTAACTCCATCAAGATATACGGGACAAAAAGGCCAGTTGGGGAGGGAAAATGAATACATTTGCAGTGTGGGCACATATACACCAGAATTCCCAGATTTGGGGGCGGGGGTGGAAGGTGAGAGAAAGAAGTGAAGAGGGCAAAATCAATTTTAGTCCCGTTGCTGCTTGCTGATTCTGTATTGTTCTTTTCATTACTCAATTGTCTAATGCTTATTTGGATGATCTGTTACATGTTGTGACTTTCCAGAAAGGACAAAATTCTGTACGTTGCAGGGATCACGACAGAATATTGTGGAGCAAATGCTTGGCATACAAGTGAGACCTTATCAAAATATGTAGACTCCATTGTCTCAAGTTATCAAATGTTGAGATCTAGTGGCTTGACTATTTTCTCCTTCCTGTGACTGGAGTCTGAGTACTTCCAAGCATCCCTGCACATTAAGAAGGATGTATTCATATTTCCTTAATGACCTAGAAGCAGAGTGAATTGGGTTCATGTACAAATGCCTGTGGTTACAAAGAAAGTCATTGCTAGGCCTTGGCACCAAGGAGGATGGGCCCTGGTGGTTAACTAGGATTCCTTGAAGTTCTTAAGGAAGGATCAAAATAAAAGGAAGTAGGCATGGATACTTGGCATTAACATTTATCTTATAGATACCCTAATATTCTTT